AAGGACCCTTTTTCACGCCTTTAGGCGTATAGGGCATATAGGGCTAGACCTGTATTTTATAGACCAATCGGCACAAGATGGGTGATGTGGTCAGCATCACGCCGGCCGCCTTTACTTCCGGGGACTGTACCCACTCAAGGCTGAGTCGACCTGGAGTCATGGTCATTTTTGAAAAAGTTTAGCTCCGCCAGGAAGGGAACCCACGAAGTTCCGATCCGCACGCGAGCGTCTAGTCGCTTCGCCACTGAAATGGTTTGGGCATATTCCAATTGAAAGATTGTCAGATGACAGAGAAGTAAAAACTGTATACATAAGGGAGATGAATTGTCGTAGACCACGAGGCAGACCAAGAAGACGATTTGATTCAAGAACCGACATCACAGCACTCTAAGCATTCCCATAAGCGCTTTGTCCCCATCTTCAACAGCCAGCGAAGAGTTCCAATACCAATGGTGCCAGTAGCATTCTGATTAAACGTCCATCTTGCCTTTCCTCTGAGACTCGAGCATCTGCCAGAACCTCTCGTCACTCCCAGCTGCATCAATCTCACCACACTGTGATGATCAGTCTGCTCCTCCGAACTGTACAAGCACTAACCACGTCTGCCTTATCACGCATAGGCATGCCACTCTGCACGAAGCATGCCTGTCCTGATCTTTCTCAGCATGCTTTCTGAGTCAGTTACAAAAACGATGTGTGTGTGTATGAATGTGTGTGTGTGTGTGTGTGTGTGTGTGTGTGTGTGTGTGTGTGTGTGTGGTGTTTTCTAGCCAGCGGAAAGCTGCAATGACCGCATCCACCTCCATTCTCAAACTGGATGTTGTGGTATCATGTGCTAGGCTCTCCTGCACCAAACGTCGACCATTAACTTTTGCTAAGAAGCCCTAAGCACTTCTTTTTTCCTCTTGACACTGAACCTTCTGTGTCTATCTATCTATTGTCTTCTTCACTTTTACCGGGTTTCAGCCCAGTGTCGTGGTTTAAAATATTTGTTTTGTGCCTCTCGCGTGATTTGAGTGACAGTTTTCTGGATCTTCTGGCCGTATTCAGCTACTCCATCTATCCATTTTTCTTGGGTCTTCCTCTGGCCTTTCTTCCCGATGTTCTACTGTAAAAGGCCTTATAGGCAATCTGACCCGGTTGCATTCTTACTAAATGGCCAAACCACTTCATTCTGTCTTTCAATATGTTCCATGCATGCTCTTGTTTCAACTTTGTCTCCAAAGCTGACGTTTGTGACTCTGTCTCTTCGTGTATTGTTGGTGACTATTCGAAAACATCGCATTTCACACGTAGTTATTTTTTGCATATGTGATTTGTTCATTGTCCACGTTTGGCACTGATAACATAACGTAGGGATGAAAATGCTGTTGATCATCCGTTGTTTGGCTGGTAACGAGATCTTTGGATGACGAAGAAGTGGGGCCAGTACTTGAATTCTTGAACTTGTTCTAATTGTATGTCATTGATCTTTATGTTTACATTACTGTTTCTTTCCTATAATTATTACTTCAGTTTTTGAGGTGTTTATTTTCATGTCAAATTTTGTACAGTTAGTGAGCAATGAATCAACATGTTGTTGTAGTTTTTGCTCTTCTTCTTGTAACAAACATTGGTCATCTGCAAAGAGTAGTTCATTTATAATATCTGTGTTTTAATTTGACTCTTGTGCAATTTTATCCATATATGTGGGTGGCACCTGCTGGCCAGTCTCTGCATTCCCGGCTCAGTGTAATTATGACCCTACACAAGTCACCAAGAAGACGATGGAGAGATTATGTCCAGACAGACCTGCAAACACTTGGTATCACCAACTGGAAAGAGAAGGCCAACTAGAGAAATGAGTGGAGGAGGGTGATATCTGCAGCAATGAACCTCAAGGGTTCGGGATGCTGAAGAAGAAGAAGAAGAAGAAGAAGAAGAAGAAGAAGAACTTCTGACTTAAGAAATCTTGACTGCTTTTTAAATTGTTGTTGTTTGGGTTATTCTCCAATTAAATTAACTTTTTCTCTGTCCGCCCCATGTAAGTCGTATCCGTTAATCTGTTCAAATACTAGACTTTAACCATATAACTGTCGCTTCCAATTACATCGTGTGTGTAAAAACAGTTCAGCGTCTGCAACAACAATAAAAATCGTGGCAACTTCCAGAGTTCACCAAAAAACGATTTCCCCACCTGCACCACCACCCGCAACATTGCAGTTTAAACTTTCAACCATATACAGCCAACCAATGGCGTAGACTTCCTGCTGAGTCACGACCCCAACGATGGCAATGAATAATAATAATGTGAACTTCTCTTTGATTGTATTGTATGGCCTCTGTATAGAGAACCTGTCTGGAGCTTTCAGTTTTAAAATAAAAGTGTAATCAGTTGGAATTAAGTGTAAGTTTTATTTTCTAATCTAACATACACCAATTTGAAGGGAAACAATGAAACATTTCATTTCTTCTTTTTTGTTAGACGGTTAGTTTGTATTCTGACCATGTTTTCAATTATTATTAATAATTAATTATTTAAACTACAACATATATATTAATATTTAATAATACGCTGTCCAGCTCTTCTGACCGTCTGGGTCACTGTATTAATAGTATTATATATGTATAAATAAAACAGATAATTTTTTAGGTATTAACAATACAATACTAATAATTTTGTGTACAGTAAAAGTAAAATAAGTTTTACTTTTAGTAAACTTTTTAGCCTACAGAGCCATATATATAGGCGGGGATTTTTAAAACCTGAACCAGCTGTACCTCACATCACAGTGAAGCATTTAAGTGAAGTCAATGTGGTGGATACCAACATTATCCATAGACAAATTATAGTGGAATCTGAGAAAAGATGGATTTCTGACTGTGTCCCCATAAATTCATAAAATGGTTAAAAATGACTAAATGTTTGCATTTTAAAACAACTATTTTGTTTTTTTTAACGAATCCCTTAGCAGCTATATGGCAGGGAGGCCTTCTAGTTCTCTGTGTGTATATGCATATCTCAAATAGTGTCACATACATATGCAATATTGGCCTAATTAATTAACATATAAAAGCCCCTATCTCACTAGTTTTAAGTAAGCATTTTACGAGTTAATGATCAAAAGAGGTTTCAAGTATTTTAAAAAAATGTCCACTTAATTGCACCTGGTTTTAGGGCTACCACCATATTCTCAGAAAATAGGAAATGGAACACAAATACTTTAAATAGAATCCACATTACTGCCGGGAAGGTTAACCTAGGCACCAAATGCCTGCCTTAACTTGTCTCTGCAGTATGCTTTTAAGAGTGTTAATTGTTATATCTTTTAATAGGAGGTAGCTTCAAAATGTTCCCAGATTTTGTGAATTGTGTAGAAATAACTACAATTATTTGCACTATATTTCCTTCAGAATAGTTCCCTTCATCAGTTACACATTTTGCCAACATTCATACAGGTGTTTGAAACAAACCTGGGCTATCCTCAGAATAACCGTCCCAAATTATCGAGGCCATATATACCCTAACAGGGCCTCAGTCACATGTAAATTGCGGACCTCTTTCCGGCGACTATACCGCCAGATGACTCACGAGCAAATAAAATGAAAGAAGCTGCAGGAGATGCAGTAGCTGCTGCTCGTGAGTCCCAGCCATCTAGTTTAGCTCCACACCGCACGTAGCAGCGTAGGAAATACTCTCGGTGGTGACTTTAACTCGGCAGAAACTTTTCCACGGTATGCTGTGTAGTCACCGGAAAGAGGTCTGCAATTTATATGTGACTGAGGCCCTGTTAGGGTATATTTTCGGCCTCAAAAATTTAGGACCGTTATTAGGAGGATAGCCCAAACCTGAAACACATTCTTTGACACCTCTTTCAGCTGCTTTGTCACATTCGTGATAGCATCCTCAGCACCCTTAAATCTCACTCGTAATGCTGATTTTAGGCAAGCGAATCAGAAAAAATAATCAGCCGGTGACATTTTGATAGACTATTATGAATGCTTCAGGACAGTTGTTACATTATGCATTGTGAGGTATTGTGTCACTAGTAGGGATCAGTGTGGTGGTGCCTTGTCATGCAGCAGAAATCAACTGTTTTTTGGAGGGGCATTTCCTTCTGATTGCATCTCTTAGTCGAGACGAAGAAATGTTTGAGCACTAAAAAAAACTTGTGATTTCTTGATTGCTGTATCACATGTTTTATTAAGCAAACTTACTTTCTCTGAGGGGGAAACTTCTCTAGCAAAACACAAATGTGATATTTGTGCGTTCCTCACCCAAGGGTATTTTCAACTCCCATGATGCCACTTGCACAGGACACACATTTCTATAGCTTCTATTCAAGAATAAATGTGAAGGTAACGTCTGCCACATCGTTTCATGAAGGTTACTATGAACTTATAAAACTATAATTTTCGTGTCATAATTACTGATTTAAACTTAAGCCAAGTATTCCATGAAGTAGGTTTAGGTTTATGCAACGGATCACCATCGTGGCACAGGGTGTAATGCATAATTGCTCCTTTCTACTTCTGACTCAAGCATGAGTCCGAAGAATCTCAGGGCAGCGCGCAAACTTCTAGCACGAGTGAGGATCCTGAAATACTTAAGGTAGATTTTGAACTCAAAATTTTGTCCGGGCAGCGCCATTAGACTACTCTTTTATATTTCCAACTGCACAACACTGCACACGGGCATCTGATCTTACTACCCAGAGACCAGGGGAAATTACTAGAAGTCCATATGAAAAAATCCTAGCCTTCACCGGGGCCTGAACCCTGGACATCTAGCACTCGAGGCGCACGCCATGTCTCAAGACCATGCAGCCCAGGAACTTTTTTTTTCACGAACTGTTTGAAGCAACCTCATGTGATGGAAAAATTTCATTTGTCCCTTTTTTATTTCCATATGCAACTCTTTTTGTACGTATGGGGGATGAATGTTTATCGCATATGTTTCTTTTTAAAAACAAACATTTGCTGATCGCACATTTTTAATCTGTATATTCACAGCTACAGCCATGGATTCTGAACAGATTGTGAAACTTCGTGAGCGTTTGTTGCAGTGCGCAGTTTGCATGGATGAATACCAGGACCCACGCATTCTTCCTTGTCACCACACTCTATGCTTAGAGTGCATTGAAAGTGTTGTTAAGGCTTCTCCGTTAACGGGGAGATTCTTCAAATGTCCTCAATGCAGAGCTGATGTTGCTGTACCCCGAGGCGGAGCAGAGCTGCTGCCTATTAATTTCTACATTGTCAGTCTTCAGGATGAATTGGCAACAAAAGGTTTATCTTATTTTCTGTTCTGGGGGGGGGGGGGGGTGGAAAATATTTAAATGCTTAGGACATTCTGGTTGTTTAATCAGCTTGTTACAATTTTGGGGCGGATTTGAAAAAAAAAAAAGAATAATGGTTTCCAGGTCGACTCAGCCCAAAATGGGTACCAGATTATGTTCTCAAAATTAAAGGTGGTCAAAATGATGTTAAAATCACACATCAGGGCTGATTGATCTATGAAAATACGAGCCTAGCATCATATGCCCAATGTGCCGCTTTTATGAACGTTACCTTACTTTTATTGTTTTTACAAGGTAGATATGCACATCCCTGAAAATCTGAAACATCACTGAGGTGGATGACAGAGACGAGGGAAAACCATCACATTATTCCCCAAAATTTCATAATTAAATATTCATAGCTATTATTTAACTATATAGGAGTCTAAAATGACAGATGTAATTGCTAACATTAAAAATACTTTTATTGTTCACATACCATTTTAAAGGTTAAAAAATATGCCGTTCAAGGATCTAATGATATTGCAGTATATTTTTGTGTTGTAAATGATATATTTGCCAAAGAAGTATATGGAAAAATAGGTAGAACATTAAATTAAATTGTTAATTTACATCTAAATTCTTATGCTTTAAGGCAACAGTTCCCATCTAACCATTAAAATTAGGGCTCTCCTTGCACCTTTGGACGCAAGCTGGACGGCTTAGGTCGGCTTAGTGGGAGTTCTCTCCCTTGGCCGCATTGACAACAAGTAGCGGAAAAAGTCACGAATCAAACAAGGCAGTGAGGTCGACATCAGGGCTGCCAATGCTTGGTTGTGTCCCCCAGATTTGGGTTTGTCTTTTGACGCTGCAGGGAAATCTGGGTTTTTTTTTTGGTGTTTTGCCGATCTGTATGCTTTAATGACCGATAAATTTGCGTGGTTAGGGTTAGCGGTAGGATTATGGTTTGGGTTAGGGGTAGGGTTAGGTTTAGCGTTAGATGTGACAATTTTGACGCTGTAGTTCCCTATAATCGCGCAGTCACATACACACCCAAACAGTCGACGGACGGTGGATGCTACTGACACGGACAATTCGCCACCGATTGGGCACCAGCCGCACGCTATTGCCGTCATATTTGGCCCACCTCCAGTGGCGCAACTCCCACAAGCATCAGATTGTCGCCCAGTATTTGGACGTTCTACGTCACCATTTTCACATCTAACCCTATCCCTAACCCACACTCTACGCAACCCTACACGCAACAGTATGATGGTGATAGACATCCTACACAGCCCTACGCGCAACCGTATGATGATAGGTAACCCTAGACGCAACCGTATGATGACTGCGCAACTGTACGCAACCCTACACGCACCCGGATGATGATAGGTAAGTATGTCATTTGATTCGTGACTTTTCCGCTCGTTGTTGTCAATGCGGCCAAGGGAGAGAACTCCCACTAAGCCGACCTAAGCCGACCAGCTTGCGTCCAAAGGTGCAAAAAGAGCCAAAATTAGTTTCAGTAATTTACTTAGATCTAAAAATGCTGAAATTGCACTGTAAAATAGAAAGTTAACTAATTATAAACCACCCTCCAGAATGTCAGTTTTGAGACCTATTTGAAAAAAATAATAATTACATGTAATAGATCAGTATCAACATCATAAAAATATTTGAATCATATATATATATATAAACTCCACTTTCATTACACTAAACCTTCTAATGAGACTAAGTATCTTTTCCTGTACGAGAACTTGGAAAAGAAGAAAATGAAAGATATTACAGTAATTTATTACTTTTACAAAAGTAACTTGGCAAACTACTAATTTCTGCTCATAAAATTTCAGTATATATTTTTCAAAAGACCTCGATTAACTGATTTATTGTATCCCCATCTGCTCTAAAAGTTTAGTATCTCATTAAACTTTTTGTTTTGTAATAGAGCACAGATAAGACTGAAAAAAAGAAATCTGAAAAATCAAAAATATTTTCCTTAACTTTTGTTCTTGTGTATGTGAACCTAATTAGATTTAATTGCAATTTCAGAGTACTCTGGAACTTGTGATGTCTGCAGCCGAGACTGGATAGCCGTGCAGTTTCGATGTGTCGATTGTGATTTAGACATATGCAGATTTTGTATTCATGCCCATCGGCTAGAAACTCATGCAGAGTCACCAAAAATCTTTCGAATAGAATCTGGATCCAGTGGTAATTCAGCAAACATTTGTCCTGATCATGTTGATGAAAGCTGCCAGCTGTTTTGCCGTACATGCAATCAGGCTATATGTGTTGCCTGTTCTTGTAGCTCTCACAGACACCACAAAACTCTTCCCTTAAATGCTCATCTTCAGGAGAGCACAAAGTACTTACAAACCGAACTGGATCGGCTTATATCAGAAAAACGGTGTGTGCTGAAAGCAGGTGAAGACATGGACAAGCTTAAGCAAGAAGTGGGTGACTGTCAGAAACAGTCAGTAGCTCGTCTGTCAACAGCTGCAGAGGAAGCTTGCAAGTATGTCATGGAAAGATTACAAACTTTAGAAACTGTGATCAAAACCTCAGCTAGAGAACAAGAAGAAGAAATTGAAGATGCAATGAAGGACTACAGATTTTATCTGCAGCACATTGAGAAGGGTGTTAATTTTCTTAAAGACATGCAGGCAAGTGATATGTGTTTAGAAGCTGTTGATGCCTACAGAGTATTTGATTCTCGTTTAAACAGACTTAAGAAGCATTTTACATCAAAAAAGTTTAATCTCCAGTTGTGTAAATTTATTCCATGTGTCCACACCAGTGTGTTCAGTGTCAACCTGCTTGATAGACATTTTTACCATTTTGGCAAACTAGGAACACTCACTAATAGCAAGTATAGCATTGCCTTTGATCATAAAACCAATCAGCCAGTGAGATATCTGCAAGGTTTACCTGGTTTGCTTCACATTAGGGGATCAGTTGTCATGCTGCGGGCGTTTGTAGTATTTATGCTGTTTCAGCTAGTTTTATATGTCGGGGATGCCACTGGGATAAATAGTTGGTTGACTTCTGTTATAGGCGTTTAATTTTGATCATCATCCTATGTCACTAGCCAAAAATCACTCCCAACAAAAAGGGCCTTTTACCACGCCTTCAGATGTATTGGGAATTTTGTGCAAGGTCTATATTTATAGACATACCACTCCATGGGGGTTGGGGAGGGTGATAAACACCACGCGGCTACCTTTACTTCCTAGGACTTAACCTGATACCATTTTAGGGCTAGGAACCAAGGTTATTTTCGAAAAACAGTCTGGCTCCATTCGGATTTGAATCCATGACCTTAGGATGCCCATCTCCCAACATAACCTAACCGGAAGTCTCTTGGTCCTTTGTTAATTTTCCTGCTGCATGTATTTAATATCCAGGGTGTCTCCATTATTTGTCTACTTTTTAGCTGGTCGACTTCTTCAAGGAGTTGCATCTTCCATTACTGTTCTTTCTCGAACACTGTGGCATTTAACATGGCTAAGTATTTCAGTGTCACAAACATGTTGTTGATGAGCCAGTTTGCCTCCGTCTAATTTCTTTTATATATATAATGTAACCATGTTTCTTCTTCTTGATCCATGGTTGCTAATAATTTTAGCATAACATTTCAGTTTAAGGGCACCCCACATTTTCTTTAGTTATTGCAAAATAATCTAACTCCATGAAAGATGCTAATTCTCACAATTTTTACCTAATTTTTTTTATCAGATGTGGTAAATTGTTTGCAGTTTTTTAAATGTGACTTAGTGTAACAAATATTGGGCACAGTGGTTACCCTTTCACCAAGTCTTGTTTTGTGTGCATTACATAACCTACATTTTCTCATTGTTAGGGTAATTTGCAATGAGAACATAAATTATCAGATTTTTCATCAGGTGTCATACTGATAAGAATGGGTTTTCCTGATTTGCCAGTTTGACCACCAGAATTTCAAATCAGGTCCATGCTCCTTTCCTGTTTGCCATTTGGCCAAGCCATTCAGGTGTTTATCTTTTTGCATGTGTATATATATATGTGTGTGTGTGTGTGTATATGTATATATGCATACATATATATATTTATGTATATAATTTGTGTATATATATATATATATATATATATATATATATATATATATATATATATATATATATATATATATATATATATATATATATATATATATATATATATATATATATATATATATATATATATATATATATACACACACACTTAACGCATGTGTACCCTTTTTACTTTAAACTGGACACTTTTAAAACCAAACTGGACTATTTTCAGACCACCTAGGACATTTTTCAAATCAAATGGGATGTTTTTTTTTAGATCACACAGGACGTTTTTCAAACCACCTAGGACGTTGTTCATAGCAAACTGGACACAGTTTATTTTTTACAATTAATACTTCTTAACCAAAGAAGTAAAGTATTCTGACAAAAAAATCACATATTACAAGATGAAAATCAGTTTATGAAAAGCTGTCCTGCTGCTGCTGTCGTCAAGTTCATCATCAGATGGACCTAATTTGTGCAGTCTTAATGTGTTACTGATACAATGCTTTCTTTAATAACCGCGCTTAGTGTCTGGTCACATGCTTCGCCCATGCCCTTCACCTTGAACACGTTTTCTGACGGGTTCAGCATATAGGCTAAGGTGACAGGAACTTTAGATGATGGGACGAGCCCAGGATTCTCCGTAGATCATCTGGTTTGTGGATTCTGGCATTGTCCATTGTCAGCCACGCATTGTCCAGCTCTTCCCTGCTACCTATATGCGTCACAAGCCCTTCGACAAATGTGCAGAACTTTTTGTCTTTGCAGGTGCCATCATCGACGATCTCTGAGTGAACTGCCTTGGTTGTTCATCATCACTATAAGTGTCGCTTTGCGGCCTGTCACTGTTGGCAGAATAATGTTTGATCGTGTCCGTCTTTTGAGCTAGTCTGTGTCCGTTGCAAATGAAGATTGAATCCGCTCTTATCAATGAAGATGCACTTCTCCTTGTCTTGTGAAGCATGTGCTGAAAAATCTAGAGCATAAGTTTGCAGGCTTAAGAATGTTGTGGGGCTGTTGACGCAGCCAAGTTTGTAATGGTACTTCTTTAGGGTGATCTTAAGCTTTTTGAGGCCATTGAACATTGTAAATATGGCTAAGTCAATCCCATTCTCCTTCACCCGCTGCTGTATCTGCACCAGAGTATCATCTGGGAATCCTTCAACAATGTCTTCAATGCGCTGCAAGTCACTGGGTGTGAGCTACTCTTTGTTGTTTCCACCGCAGTTTCGCTGGAAAATGGCACATCTTGTTTGTAGGCACCGATGATGTTTCTAGCTGAGCCCTCGCTGATACCAGCTACTTGAGCTGCCTCGGTAGTTTTCCCATCGACTAATGCAAGCTTAATAAGAACCATTTTATGTGCTAAGGAAGTTAGCTTACACCATTGTTGCCTGAGAGACGTGTCATTGTGAGCTTCATTGCTCATTTTTGGTTGCTTCGCTAAGTTTACAGGACTGTAAAATAAATGGATAAAAGCACGTTCCTGAGTAAATAGATATCACAAAAGAACATTCCAGAAAGAATTATATAATATGTGTTACAGCAAATCTTCAAATTTAAGCATTAAACAATTTTTATTTAATTTTGCCTAGTTTGATTTGAAGAATCCAGTTTGATTTGAAAAATGTCCTAAGTGATTTGATAATCGTTCATTTTGATTGGAAAAACATCCTGGGTAATTTGAAATATCCAGTTTGATTGGAAAAACATCCTAGATTGTTTAAAAATAATCCAGTTTGATTTGAAAGACATCCTAGATGGTTTGAAAAGTGTCCAGTTTAAAGTGAAAATGGTGTATGTGTGCATATATATATATATATTATGGTTCTTTTCTGGGAAGATTACCGGCTGGTACTATTTTCTTCAGGTTGTTTTTTTAACATGCCTGACAACTTGACTACCAACATCTAATTTCTATACATTTAAACACCTCACTGGATGATGAAGATTGTGGGCCCCAAATACCAATGTTTTTTGATTTGGTTGTGATAGGCAGTGTAAATAAAATAATGTTTTGCAGGATGTTGATATTGTTCATATAGTTTTAATGTATGTGATATCAGAGTTACAACATGCTTGCTTATAGCTTCTTTTTGTGTGTGATACATATTTATTATTTTGATTTATTTTTAATGTTGATTGTTAAATGGTATGGACTTGCTTCCTGCAAAGTACTTTTATTCTTTCAGTGGCTTTAAAAGTTGTGCATTTGTAATTTTTAATTGCTGATTAGTTTTGCTGGTTGATGTCTGCTGTGAAAATCTTTGTTTGCTGAAAGAGTTAAGTGCAGGGGGAGGTTGTATACTTATAGACTTTTTCAGAGCTTTTGATCAGAATCACTGTAAGACTTTTTTCCTGCATTATGCAACAGCATGCAGCACCTGCATTTTATAGACTTTTTTAAGCGCTTCTGTAATAGTAGTCACTTTGTGGTGAGTACCAGCACCTTTTTTTAAAAATCAAGGTAAAAGCCCTAATAATAGTTTATTTTAGTTTTAATATATAATGAAACCGTTATGCAATATCTAATTTTCTAAGAAATGTAGAGGATATCTTTACAGAAGGTCACAGTCTGTACTTCATATCCTGTTATTTCTGGTGACATTTTCCATTCAAATCAAATTTGGCCTGAACTTTGTTGCTCAGATATTGAATATTATTGTCAACATTGTTCATGCCATGTATTTTAAAAAAAAAAATTTTAAACAATTGTGTGTGTTAAATATATAAATATCAAGTGGGGCTTGATGTTCTTCTCTAACTTTAAGTACATCTTATTTCTGTTTCTGGTATTCCTGTAAGTTGAAATGATTTCTGTATTTTCTTTGTCTTTACTCCTGTGATTTGTTGTTGCGGTATCCACAGGGAAATTTAACAGGCATGAGGCCAGAACATCTGACTGCTTTAAATTTTCTTCTATTTAAAATAAAATCTTGTTACTTGGTCACAGTGGAGCTGCTTTATTATGTGTTGTCAAGCATTTAATGGTTTCATTGTTGGTGTCTGTGGCTTTGGCACTGTGATCGTGCTTGAGGTGTCTGGTTCGATCCCAGCTGCAAACACTTTGGCAGCAGACTTCCTTGCTTTAGTTTCAACAGTGATAGAGAGTCACCCTTCAGTGGCAAACTACTGAATGTAAATGAGCCCAGAAAAACCGCAACAGCCAAACAAGGGCTGGGGTTGGTTCTGCAACTAACTGTTGAAAATTGTTTAATTTTAAAAAATAATTTTTTAAATAATTTTTTCCTTGCAGCAAAAACAAAACATCACTTGAAAACCATACAGCATATGCACCACCTCCCAGGAAGCTTCGAGTAAATTAATTCTGTTAGTGCCTTTCACATTCTTTTATTTATTCCACAGCACTTTCCGGTGAATAATTTTAGTGTGTATTTTTATAGTTCATATAAAATCTGTTGATTCAGAAACTTATGATATTTACGATATTTGTTCTGTTTGTAAGCTTGTTTGATTTTGTTTTTGTCTATTTTTTAAAGCAGACACTAGCAGTGTCTAGTATTTGCTTTGCCAAAAATATTATTTTTCAATGTGTGCAAAATATTCACAATTATTATGCGGTCTGAGGTCCTGACAAAAAATGTACATTCTGGAGAAAGAGAGAGAGAAAAAACTAGTTAAGTTGCCACTGTAAAGAGCCCTCCAAGAATGTGTAGATAATAAAGCAATTCATATGATTGCTTCTTCTTTTGGTCCATGCCATGTGGCGTTGACAGTCATGTCTATCCACAACCTTCTGTGTCGTGTACTGCCTTGACACAGATGAGTTTCCATGCCATGTGGTCCAACTATCCAGCATCTTCTCCCTCTGTTTCCCTCTGCTGTTCTTGCCCTCTAATTTTCCCACTGTCATGATGTCTTCCAGTTGTCACCTTCTCATGACATGAAAAAAAGAATATAGATTGCCTCGTTATGATGTGAGCAGTTCTCTTAGTGAGTTAGTTTCTTTCAAGACATCTTCA